CTCAATATGATAATAATCAGTGAAAATTATTTTTTTGATTGTTGAAAACTGAATTCAGTATCTTATAACTTATAAATTAGGGGTGGATTTCAAGGGTAGGGGGTGAGTTTATTATTATTATCCATATCTGTGAAACATTGAAATACTTTTTTACAATTCAGAAGCACTTAGAATCCATATAATTTTTTTCATTTATTCACAAAAACATTTATCATTAAGGGGTGGTTATTTGACTTAAGGGTTGTTTTTCAGGGGTTGTTTATATTCAGTATTAATACTTAGTTATCATAGAAAATTTTTTTTTTCATATTTTCGAAAATCAGTGAAAATTATTTTTTTGATTGTTCCAAACTGAGAATAGTTATGAATTAGGGGTGGGCTTCAAGGGTAGGGGGTGAGTTTATTATTATTATTATTATTATCTATGTCTGTGTAACTTTCAAATAATTGTTTATAATTTAGAAGCAATTAGAATCTATAGATTTTTTTTAATCATTTACAAAAACTTTCACCGTCAAGGAATGATTATTTGACTTTAAGGGTGTTTTCAAGGGGTTATTGATCCTTTTCAATTTTTAAGCAACCAGGCAATGTTTATAAATAAATAAAAAGTAGATAAGAGCTGAAAAATATTTAATTCATCAATTTGGTTAAATATCAGTTTTTTGGGGTAGTAATGTACCGTGGGGGTGGTTTTAAGGGGTGAGACATGTTAAAAAAAATTTTTTTCTCATACTGAATACTTTAGTAATTAAATCTAATATACATTATAAGCCTAAAGTAACGACAAAAAACTCGGCCATTAAAGGGTTAAGGACCACCCTAATATACAGTCCAGTAAAATTGAAAGAAATTGAATTTTAGAACGCAGGTAAACCTGATAGAGTTTTTCGAGCCACCACCGCAGCATGCGAGATTACGTCATCATCGGTTACCCGAGAGCCAAAATCTCGCAGCTCGCAATAGAGTCGTCAAATCCACTCCAATCAAATCTAGTGCGAAAATTTAAATAGGGAAATAAACCCAAAAATTAATTCAAAAATTTCATTTACTATAGTATAGGCAAAAAGTGCGAATAGTAAAATAGGGCATATTAGCTCACAGAGGAAATGAAGTAAGACTGTAGCTAACATGATAGAAAGAATAGAGTTTTAAAAGTATCCAAAGTGTAATGAATAAAGTAACAAGTTAAGAAAACGTGGCAAGGTAGCAATTTAGAAAAATCAAGATTGAATAAATTTTTAGTTTAAAATCGAGATAAAAATTTTAAGATCGAAATCGAGATAAAATTTTAAGTCCAAAATCCCACCGCTGCCACCATCAGTTTGTTACGAACCGAAGAAATTATTTGTTTTGAAATAATTATTATTAAAAATAATTAGAACAATACATCGGGCTTTTGAGATGGCCCAAATTTCAGAGGTTCTCGGAGGTCCAAACTGCCAAAGCCTGAAGGGCCTTGTTTTTATTTATGGGTTCGTTTCGTTCTAATTGCTGATATTATCTAGGATAAAATAGGAAAATATACCACGACTTCCTTTTGTAACTTGTTACTATTAGAATACAGGGAACAGAAAATAAAGAGAAGAAAGAATAAAAAGAATTATTAATTTTATTTTATCATTCAAAAATAATGCTGACAAATATATTCCACTCTCTCTTACAAGAAAGGAGGGAGGGAAGAAGGATGTAATTACAAAATTACCCCGGAACGATACTGAGTACTTACCGTTCCGCTTCCTTATTCTACCGTCGACAATTTCTTCTCGACGGGCAAAAACATAAATTTTAAATATTGTCCATACACAATCACTCGAGTGGCGCATTCGCGGTTTGCCGTATGTTCTTTTATTGCGCGAACAATCTTTTTAACAGGGACAGACAAATCCACTCTCTCTTACTCTAATTCGCTAAGCCGTCAATTGCAAGAGCAGACGCGGGCACTCCGCACCCGGCTGGTCTTTCGACAAAAATTTAGAAAAAGAAAATTAATTAGATTTAAAAACTCTTCACTTGAATTGACTCTTAACCGGCCTCCGTGGACTTCGGAGTAAGTTGACGTTTTACTTTACGTCCGACCGAAATTATTCGTGTAAGCACACGAATCAAAACGGGTCCTTGGTACCGGACGGGAGCGCTTAGGCTTTTTAATCCGGGCAGTTCCAAACAGAGTTGGAACTTCGATGCTCGCGGAAACCGTACTGAACAATAATTTAGGGGCTGGAGATGCCTCTACGGGTCGGCTTAGGGCACCTGGTGGGAAATTCTGCTGATTTTGAATTTCAAAATTGCAGGTGGAAAGGGAAGGTGGGGCCTGTTGCCATGCCGGTTTTGCTGAATTTGCAATTTAATAAAATCGGTTTAGTGAAATAGTGTTGAAATAATAAAGTTATTTCGAAACAAAATTATTTCCAATTATTCTTTTGAATAATTTTATATTTTATTTAATCTTTGAAATTTTAGAATTAACCCTCTCATATAAAAGGTTAATATAATTTAAGATAATGGACATTTCCAATCAGAAAGAAATTCCATCTATTTTGTAGTATTTTGAATGTTGTTGCAATTCCAGTTTTGAGATCAATTGTCTCAATATTGATCTGGAATTGATCAGTTGCATATAGATCTAAAAAGCACATTATAGTAAAGCAATGGCAGGCATAGCTTGTAGGCTTGAGAGATACAGAGGGGCAAGGTAAGATAGGCTGTGAGTAAGGAAACATAGGTGTATTGGTGCCATAGCGTACAGCATAGACGTCTCCAGCCATACTAATGTGTATTATGGTCGTAATACCTAACGAGTGCGAGAGAGCAAGCATCCACTATGCATTCGACAGCGTAAGAGTAAGAGTGACGCGTACTAGTCATTGGAGCGAGGGAGAAAACCATGCGACAGAGAGAGAACGCAGTACTCCGCGAGAGCAGTGTGTCTGAGAGAGAACGCTTCGCCGTTACATACAGTCTTCTTTCTCTCTCACGCAATGTCGAGGGACGCGCGGGGAGCCTTCACTCAACGCGTTCAGTGAGGACTCCCACCCATGGCTGCAGAAATATTATTTTAATTTCGAATCTTATTATTTTAACTAGCTAAAAGAAACGCGCGTAAACGCGCGTGATAGCATTTCTTTGTGCAAAATTTATATATATTTCACAAAAGGTCATTTAAAAACAATTAAAAATTTTTTTATACATACAATTTTTTTCCTAAAAATTAAAATATCGTTTTCATTCTCATGTTTACTCTATGTATCAATTTTAATTATCAGAAATAATCTGTAAACAATTCATTCAATTAACTTGAATCATTTGAATCACACTTTTTTAAACCTAATAAGTCGTATTTGGTTCAAGTAAATAATTAATTGAATTTAATAAATGAATTTCATTAATACAAACAATGAGTTACTTGAAACTATTTATTTCTTTATTTCACTAAAATATTTCGTTTCATTGAAACAAATGAAAAGTATTTGATACAATAAATTTATTTTATTGATTCTAATCAAATAAATTATTTAATATAAATAATGCGTAACTTAATGTTAATACAGTATTTTATTAAAGGAAAATGAAATATTTTGATCAATTAAATATTTAAGTGTATTGTGAATAATAACTTATTTGATACTATTCATTTACTTATACTTATACATTATTTAATTTTCTTAGTCCAAATGTCGAATATTTTTTCATCAACAAAAACTTTACGTTAACAATGATTCAGAACAACGGAAAACGCGTTTTTAATAAAAATATATTTACACTTTTTTTGAAAATAACACACTCCTATATGATCAAATAGCAAAATTTTCTAAGTCCAAAGTCAAATATTTTTTTATCAACCAAAAATTAATGTTTACAATGATTGAGAACAACAAAAAACGTTTTTTTAATAACAATATATTTGCACTTTTTTGGAAAATTCACCTGTGATGATTCATGATTTTTATAAAGCATATAATTAATTATATTTTATAAATAGTTGAAAAATGAAAATATCCGATCATAATATGCACAATTTACATATTTTATAATTTATTTCTTTATTACTTTTAATCTAGATCCGCCAGTTAACTAATTACAACGTTAATTAATAAATTTCATTTCAGTAAGAATTTAATTTAGAAGTCGAAGAATTAGTAAATAATTATATTATTTATTAAATTCAAATTTTGATTTATTTGAATAAAAATTTTTTTACATTTTATGCAAATAAACTATTCATTCGGATCGAATAAAATAATAATTGCCAAAATTAAAGAGGTTTTAGTTTCAATTTAAAATATTACTTATGATAAATAATTGAATATTTCAGTCAAGAAAATTTATATTTTTTTCAAGAAAAATATTTTATTCATACAAATGAATATTTATTTGAATCAAAAAACATGCAGTATTATTCTATTTATTTGATTTGTATACTTTGTATTTGACTCAAATTACTATTTATTTCATACGATAAAATAAAATACTTATGTCCATTAAATATTTAATAATACACAACAGTACAGTCAAGTATAAATAGCAAAAAAAATAAAAAAAATTTTTTTTTATCAAACGTTTTTTTTATTCAATTCCACTACAATATACAATACTCAAATAGCAATAGAAATTGTATTTATTAGTGTACATTGCTAAAAATATTAAGTTTTTTGTTTACACATCCTGTGGGGACAGGTCAAATTTTGACGTTTTCAGCCTTAAAAACCACTTTTCATGAAAAATTTTAATTTTAAATACAAAAATAACTATTGGTTTTTATTTGTAGTCACAGAAATTACCTTTTTACATTGGAATCGAAACATTATATGAATATTATTTGTGATTTTTCTTTCACAACATGAAATAAAGCAAGTTCTGCGCTACGCGGAGAATCATCCATATATATATATATATTTATATATATATAATAAGTTATCTTTATTTCAAAAAATAAAAATCTTATTATTATATTTTTAAATTATTTTATCACAATAATTTTTAATACTGCACGCATAATAATATATTTTTAATAAGAAGTAACTAATAAATTTAGAAATAGAAACAAAACTTTTTTGTAATTAATTACTTACTTCATGTCTTTGGTTTAAATAAAAATTAATTTTTTCTTTATAAACGAAAATAATAGAGGTAGTGTACTAAATAATAGGAAGTACTCCTATTCCACGTCTTCTCTTCCTATTTGGCCTTCGTTCACTCGTTTTAACTCCCTAAATCCAAGTAGAACATCTCCGATCGGCAGTGGATCCCTTTCTTCCAACTGTATATTCATTTCCGAATCAACTTGTAGATAAATTCTTGGACCTATTACAAATTATTAAAAATTATTATTAATTCCATTTCTCATAAATAAATCCCTGAAATTTTTAGGTCCAAAAAAATTTTTTTGTTAAAGTTATAAACAATTGAAATTTTTTGCAGTCTTATTTTAAAAAATTTTTTTCTCGAATTCCTGTTCATCAATTCAAAAAAAATGTTTTTCTCGTCTTAAAATGTACTTTCTAAATATAATTTTTATTTTCTAAAAATTTCATATTTAATAGTATTTTATATTATTCATTTAGAAAATGTTATTAAAAATAGTGTTCTTGACGTCCTACAGAAAATTAAATTTGTTTTTAATTCCCCACACAATTTTGTTTAAGAAACCGTTGAGAAAAAAAATTAGACTAAAAAAAAATTTCTGAATTTTAGGTGATCCGTTTGAAAAATTCTGACCCCCTTTTAAAAATTTTTTAAGCCCACTTCACTCTTGAGAAAACAATTCTTTAAATATTTTAGGAATTTTTAAAAATTATCAATTTCCTTACAATATTTCCTGGCCTTCATTTATACTACGTACATTTATGTATTTCAAATCGCTGATTACGAAAATCATAGTGACAATACCAAAAAATTTGATTTTTATTGTTTCACTATAAAAGTTTTTGATTTTTATTAATTTATTAGGTAAAATAAGATTAAGATTAAGATCTTTTTTAGAGCATACAAAACGGTAAACAAAATTTGTGCCTAATCGAAAATATCAAGTCGACGATATATGGGTTTAACATGGAACGCTCCATATATTGTTTTTATTACCACTTATTTCTTTTTTTGCATTTGGAGGCTCGGGATCAACTTTAAGGCACGAAAAATAATTATTATATTATTTTGTTGCATCGTTTGGGTCCAAAAAACATACAGGATGATCAACAACAAAAAATAACAATTTTTTACCATATTATAAATGAAAGTCTGCAAAAAATTAATATTTTAAATATCTATCTTTTTCAGTTTTGATTATTTTTCTTCGCCAGTTTTTTTCACGTTTTTTAAACGATTCTTAAGAATCTCTCATATGGACTTCCAAAATTTTTAATATTTAAAAAAAATATAAAATTTGAGTTAAAACATTATTGCATTATCCTCATAAATATGTATCTTGTTTCACAATTATAAGTATTTTTTATGTTCAAAATGTTTCCACACTTCTTTAATGGTTCATCTAAATCTTTCTCAACAATTTTTCAAAAATTTTACTTTTTCAAAAAATTGACATTTTAAAATTGCAAAAAATTAAAATTTTATTTTTTTGATCATCCTATATTTAAAACATCTTCCAGAAGTCCAATTTGTTTATTTATTTAAACTATTATAATTACCCTGAGTTTGAATTCTTCCAATTATATTTATAGCTGACCCTTTTTCACATTTCAATGTGTTTTTAAAATCAGCAATTCTGACTTCCAACTTAAAATGTCCGTCAGTCACCGAACCGCAACCGAAGGTACCTACATTTCTATTTACTCCAACACTTTGATACACAAACTTACTTTTAATGTAACAAGAGAGTTCTGAAAAGCAGCAGTAAGTGAATAAATTATAAAATTTTAACGTACATAAACAAACTTCAAAAACCAAAAGTCTTATATAAAAATCACATTTTCAATTTCGTTTTCGACTTAAAATATGTTTAATCAATATTGATCAGGTTTAATTTGTCACGACAAAATCGAAACCTAATTGAATACACTTAAAAGTCTAAGAGACAAATTCCCCAAGTAAAATTTTAAGTAAAAAAAATTAATTGTTATTAAAAATCACATTTTCAATTTCGTTTTCAACTTAAAATTTTTTTAATCAATATTGATCAGGTTTAATTTGTCACGACAAAATCGAAACCAAATTAAATAAACCTAATACTCAAAGCGACAAATTCCCCAAGTAAAATTTTATAAAAATTTTATTTAAATACTTACTAATTGTGGTATTTTCATGGTGAACTACGTCTGGTAAATCTACCTCATTAAGTTCGGGTTCTTCATCTTCTATGATGTGTTCTCCAATTTCATTAACTTCAGTCGTTGAAAATAACTGAAGTTCAAATGAAACATTCCCTTTATTAAATTCTACTTTTGTCGGAACTCTTGCTAAGGCACCATCAATATGTAATATCTAAAAAAATTTAAATTAAATATGGAAATAAAAAATATCAAAATTGAAAAGAATACTTTAAACGAAATTCAAAACGTAGATAAATCTATTAATTTTTTTAGCGAAATTTGAAAGATGAAATTTTAAAAATAAACAAAAAAATTTCAGTTTTGGGAAGACAAAAAAAGTTAGGATAAAAAAAATTCGAATAAAATATTTTACCGTACTGATAACAAAGTATTCGGAAAACAGGGTTTTGGAAAATCTAGGTGTAACTGTATTTTGGTTTCATGATTTCTTAATAAAAAATTGAGCCTTCCAATTGTATAACTCGCCCTGCGGTCGGACGGACGCTTTAATGGTAGTCGGGTATTAGCGGGAGAGCCATTGACGCTCGCTGCTACTCGACTACCAATAGGGCATCCATCCGAGCGTCGGGCGAGTTATATAATTTGGAGGCTCAATTATTGTTTCTATCAAACATTTATTAAAAATCTTTTAAAGGAAATATGTTTTAAAATGTGGAAAAAGTTGTATTGGATGTAATATAGTTAAACAATAATAATTAAATTACTTAAAACACAAATTAAATATTTACAGTAACTTTTATAAAGACTTAAAATATTACCTTGTTCACATGAATTTTATTTTCCAAGGATCTGATATCATTTTCTCCCCAAATGACGCACTGAATTTTTTTTCCGTTTCCATTGCTTACAAAAAATTTTAACAATTGTGATTTTCCAGTCATTTTTGAAGGTTGAACAGTATCAACGAAACAAACTAATTCTCTATAAAAATAAATATATTATACATTATATATTATATATTATATATATTATATCTTTGGAATATTTTTAATTTATTTTAATTTATTACTAGTAAATTTAAATATTACTGGATTACATTATTAATTTTCAGAAACATTAATACTCCAAATTTTTTTTAACATAAAACAGACAATAGCGTATTTTTATGATACTTACACTGTCCTGTCCCAAAACTTAATTGCTTCTATGGCTTCATTGCTTGTGAAATCCATTTTATCTTCAAACATTGTAATAAAACATACCAATATTAATTATTACTACATACATAACGTAGATAAATTTTTAAAATAATTTTATCAATTACTTTTTTTATCAAAATAAAATTTCATTTCTTACAAAATAAATTGATTGTAAGAGAAGACTATTATTGTTTTGATTTAAAATCAATTTAAATATTTTTTAAAATAACATATCTAAGAGATTTTTTTCAAAAATTCATACGAAATTAAAAAAAAAAATTTCCCCCCTTTTTTTCAAAATCAATATTTATTTTTCGATTTTCACCCCTTTGGTAATTTTTTTTTATTATTATTTCCATTGGAAAGCTGAGGTTCTTTCCCATAAGCTATGTAAATATGAAAGTGGGACAACAATAATTTTGTGAGAAACATAATATAAAAATAGGCGGTGCACCCGCGCAATGGAAGCAAATATGAGTACCCATCGTTGTACACACCTATATTATTCCTATTTATTTCAGTAACAGCTCTCTGCATTCTACAGGGTTGAGACTGTCCATAAAATAAACAAAAATTATTTTTAATTTCATAAAAGGGTGTTGAATTCCTTTTAAAATATTTTATTACATTTTTGTGTTTGTTTTGGTGAAAAATTCGTGAAGGAAATTTTTAATTTTTTTTGTAAAATAATCACATTCCACAAAGCCATCGATAATTTTTAAACTTAATAAAATTAAATAATAAAATCATTCATATGTTAACAGTAATAATAATTATTAAAATTTATTACAATTACTATAATAATAAAATTAATAATAAATAAATAATAGTAATAATAATTATTATTATTATTTTCTCAATTTTAAAAATTATCCATGGCTTTGTGGAATGTGATTATTTCACAAAAAAAATAAAAATTTCCTTCATGAATTTTTCACCAAAACAAACACAAAAATGTAATAAAATATTTTAAAAGGAATTCAACACCCTTTTATGAAATTAAAAATAATTTTTGTTTATTTTATGGACAGTCTCAACCCTGTAGAATGCAGAGAGCTGTTACTGAAATAAATAGGAATAATATAGGTGTGTACAACGATGGGTACTCATCTTTGCTTCCATTGCGCGGGTGCACCGCCTATTTTTATATTATGTTTCTCACAAAATTATTGTTGTCCCACTTTCATATTTACATATCTTATGGGAAAAAACCTCAGCTTTCCAATGGAAATAATAATATAAAAAATAACCAAAGGAGTGAAAATCGAAAAATAAAGATTGATTTTGAAAAAAATGGGGGAAATTTTTTTTTTTTATTTCGTATGCATTTTTGAAAAGTACGTGAAAAATTCATTAAAATTCATTATAGATAAATTTCAATCCATTAAGTTTTGTCATAATTATACAGATTTGAAAATTACAATTTTACCCTTAACGTCAAAACTTCATCCCCCTCTACTTTCTACAATTTTTTTTTTTTTAATATGTTTATATTTTAGGGATTTATTACTTTCATATAAGACAATAATTTACCAAAGTATGAAACCAATCAAAGAACATTGACTTTTTGGGCTGGGGCGATTGAAAAAGAATCTCTCATCTTTAAACACTAATTGTTTAAAAACGTAAAAAATAATTTTTTAATGAAAATAAATTTTTTTCTCTTACAAAATAAATTCATTAAAATAGGAAAACATTATTTTGTTCTAAAATAAAGTTATATATGTTTTCATCAACAATTCTTTAAACACTTATTTTTTTAAAAAATTAGTAAGTTGTTTTTTGAACAAATTAAATTTTCATCTCATACAAAATAAATTGATTGTAAGAGGAATATAATTTTAAAAATAATTTATTTTCTTTTATCTCTAACCTGTTATTTGAAGACCTGATGAAGACGTAAGTCGAACGACACAAAGCACTTCACAGTTGAACAATGAAATATCCTGGAAAGATTAAGTATACGTATATGAATAAGTAATGAATTTCGAGGAATTTATTAAATAGATTGAACGAAATTTTAGATAGGAACAACAAAGAAAAAGTAAGAACAACTATCTCTATATTTAAATATAATATCTACAAATTAATTGTTAATAGCAAATATTACAATATTTATTATTAATTTAAAATAAAAAGTTTTATATTTTTTAATATTGACAATTCATTTTTCTTCGTAAAAAGTGACAATTGTTAAATTTAAATAATTATTAAAAAAATCACTCACTTTAAAAATTAAAAAACTTATTTGGTAAAATTTTCGTTACAATAAAATTATTATAGGGACCTGGAATAAAATTGTTTTTAATAAATTTTATTTTATAAACAAAAACTTAACAATAAATGAGTAATCGTTTAATTTTACAATTATAAGCCCAAAAAAATAATATTAATTAATACAATAAAACAAATTTTCTACTGTTTTTTCATAAAAAAAAATATTTTCTGAATAAAATAAATTTTTTAATTTTAAATATAATTATTAAAAAGGTATATCAATTTTAAAAAAGGAATAAAATATACATATCAAAAGGAACATATTTTAATTATTAATTGACAAAATATAATTGTAAATGAAAATTATTTTCTTTTCCTGACCTGTAATTTGAAGACGATGTAAAACGCCTGATAGTTCACGGGTTACTGACGATTAGCAAGTACTGGATATTGAGGAACAGCAGGAGTGTGTTGAAATGAAGAAACTTATCAATTTCTCAGAATTAACCACCTCGATCATATACTATATCCAAATATTTACAGCATATTAATTTCTTACTATTGTATTCCTCAAGAATATACTTCAAATATAATATAGAAATATTTCTCAAATGAATTGAAATATTATTAAAAATTTGGAAACGTAAAACTTTATAAAAAATAGTTTTCATATTTTAAAATTTTTAACATAAAAATCTAAAACTTAATATTACTATTTTCTCATAATTTATTGACGATCAAAATATACTGACCTTGAATGTAATTTTTTCCATTACAACATTATATTTAAACGACAACTTGTTATAGTTTAATTTTTTTAAATAATTATTCTAACATCTTAAATAAAACTAAATTTTTCATGTAAGAGTTTAAAATTCATAATATTCTTTTAAATTATTACAAAATAATAAAAATACAAATAATTGTTTTAGTTTTATTTTTTGTTAACTTTTTTGAAGTGCAATATACTGTAATATGTGAGAGATTCTTTTTCAATCGCCCCAACCCAAAAAGTCAATGTTCTGGGATTGGCTTCATATTTTGGTAAATTAATGTTCTATATGATAGTAATAAATCCTTAAAATATAAACTCATTCAAAAAAAAAATTGTAGCAAGTAGAGGGGGTTGAAGTTTTGACGTTAAGGGTAACATTGTCATTTTCAAATCCGTATAACTATGACAAAAGTTAATGGATTTTAATAATTCTATAATGAATTTTAATGCATTTTTTACGTACTTTTCAAAAATGTATACGAAAATTTTAAAAAAAAATTTTGACCCCTTTTTTTCCAAAATCAAACCTTATTTTTAGATTTTCACCCCTTCGGGTATTTTTTTTTTTTATCTTCATTGGAAACCTGGGGCGATTGAAAAAGAATCTCTCATATATGGGGCATTCTATAGGAAATTTTCATTGACAATTTTTTTTTGTCCGATACATTTTTTTCGAAATCTATATGAAAAATAAGGAAATACGTATTTTTTAATTTTTTTCTTTGAAGACAATGAAAGCAGTTATGATTATGGCAAAAGTTAATGGATTGTAATTTATCTATAATGCATTTTAATGAATTTTTCACATACTTCTCAAAAATGCATACGAAATTAAAAAAAAAAAATTTCCCCCCTTTTGTTTAAAATCAATCCTTATTTTTCGATTTTCACCCCTTTGGTAATTTTTTTTTATTATTATTTCCATTGGAAAGCTGAGGTTCTTTCCCATAAGCTATGTAAATATGAAAGTGGGACAACAATAATTTTGTGAGAAACATAATATAAAAATAGGCGGTGCACCCGCGCAATCGAAGCAAAGATGAGTACCCATCGTTGTACACACCCATATTATTCCTATTTATTTCAGTAACAGCTCTCTGCATTCTACAGGGTTGAGACTGTCCATAAAATAAACAAAAATTATTTTTAATTTAATAAAAGAGTGTTGAATTCCTTTTAAAATATTTTATTACATTTTTGTGTTTGTTTTGGTGAAAAATTCGTGAAGGAAATTTTTATTTTTTTGTGTGAAATAATCACATTCCACAAAGCCATCGATAATTTTTAAAATTGATAAAATAATAATAATTATTGTTATTACTATTATTTCTTTATTAATAATTTTATTATTATAATAATTGTAATAAATTCTAATAATTATTATTACTGTTAACATATTAATTATGTACTCGTCTTTGCTTCGATTGCGCGGGTGCACCGCCTATTTTTATATTATGTTTCTCACAAAATTATTGTTGTCCCACTTTCATATGTAAACAGCTTATGGGAAAAACCTCAGCTTTCCATTGAAAATAATAATAATAAAAAATACCCAAAGGGATGAAAATCGAAAAATAAGGATTTTATTTTATTTATTTTTTATTTTATTTCAAGGACTTTGCATTGAAATATTTAAAAATTTCAATGAAATATTTCAGAAATATTTAGGAAATATCATGTGCTGTGTGGGGTTTAAAAAATGTTCCAAAAACACATTTTTTTCGTTGACGTTATATTTCAAAAAATCTTAACTTCTTTCATTTTCATCAAATAAAAAAATAAAGAAATACGTATTTCCTTATTTTTCAAATAGATTTCAAAATAAAAATTTTTCGGACAAAAAAAATTTTCAATGAAAATTTCCCATAGAATGTCCCATATACTGATACTCATAGAGTAACGAAAAAATAGTAGGTATATAATAAAAACTTTTATTACTAACCTTTTTAATACTCCACAAATTTAGACACTTTTCAAAACGAAAAAAAATATTGTCAACACTAAAATATTCTTTGCAGAAACTAACGCATGTAATTGAAGATCCGAGATGAACAACTCGTCAAGCGCTCGGACACACGCTCCAATGCCAGTCAGAGGTAAGAAAAAGTGAAAAATATTAAAATTTTCTTTTTTAAATCAAACTACCTTATAGGAAATCGAAAGGCTCATCTTTTATTCTCTGAATTTTTTTGTAGAAGAATATTTTAATTAATAATTAACAAAACTGTCGAATTAAAATCTTATCGTCATATTTTTATTAAATATTGATGAATTTAGTTTAGATTTGCTTTACACACGCCTTTAGGGCCACTGAAGACGGCAATATAAGGAAAAATTAAAAAAACATTAATAATTTAATGATAATGAATTATAAATACTGAGTGATCGATAGTTTTTAACATTAATAATAATATTATGTCTCACTGAAAGTTTGATCAATTTTAAAGTTCCATACAGACTTTTTGGCGAAAAATGATAGAAAACGATATTATCGACCGCTCTTTATTTACAATTAATTATCATTAAACAATTTAAGACTTTTTAATTTTTTCATTATATTGTCGTCTTCAGTTAACCTAAAGACGTGTGTATATCAAATGTGAACTAACTTAATCAATATTTAACTAAAATATGACGATTTGTTTTAAAATTGAATGAATTTATAAAATTTAAATTCGTCAATTTTTGTTAATTATTAACTATAATATTTTCTTTTTACAAAAAAAGACAGAGAAAAAAATGCATCATTCAATTTCCTATAAGTTAGTATGTTTTAAAAATCATAAATTCGAATTTTAATACTTTTCACCTTTTTAATACGAGCGTTCGACGAGTTCTTCTTACCAGGTTCTTAATTGTTTTTGCAAACCTACGGCAGTATCATTGTAATACTAAGAAACACTTACTGCAGATAAAATGAAGTACATTAGCAATATAAACAATTAAAAAAAATATTACTTTGAATAATTTTAAGATTTTATTCCCTTGTTTTTACCTAAAATACCAGATAAGTACGAGTTACACTCGCTCTAAACTTGAAGGTTCCCTACACGTAGCGAACTTATTTGGTATAAAAGTAAATGTTTAAAAAATATAAGTTTTGAATTTCAAATAATATAAGTAATACAGAAAGGAAAAGTTTTGTAAAAAAAAAAATTAAAAAATTGTTCCTCTTCATATCAATTACATTATTTGGCATCCAAAACTTATATTTTGTAAACATTTGCTTTTATAACAAAATAAATTCGCTACGTGTGTTTCTTTATATAGAAATATATTATATGGGATCCTGATCAATTGTCCGGATGTATGAATGTGTGTATGTGTGGATCCTTTTTTGCGAACACGATAACTTTACCAACTTTTCATGGATTTATATAAATTTTGGTAGGCTTATTTATCATATTAATACAGTAAAAACCCATTTATCCGAAATAATAGATGCGTGCAGGCTGTTGTCCAGATAATCGAAATTACAAAACACACAAATTTTATTTATATAATCTTTGATATGTATTTATTTGCAAACATGAAAAAAAGAAATTATTATAGATACTATATAAAGAAATACATAAATATTCATTAAAAATTATTTCACAAATGTTTGCACAAATATTTTTTTTAAATTTTTAAATAAAAACGCTCTAAATTCAGGAAAAAATACAAAAAACGAAATGAAAAACTATATCTCAAAATGAGCACAAGGATTATAAAAAATACCCCAAAAAACATTTTATCGTCTTTTGTAATAGCAAAATTTGAGGTAACATATAACAAAATCTAAATTTTTACGTCAAGACGAATCGATTGGTATATATATATATGTGTGTGTGTATATATGTATTTAAAGTATAGATTTGATTTAAATTTAAAGAATTAATGAAAATTTTAAAAATAAAAAATTCACATTTTATCTAAAAGAGTGTTCCTTTAAATTCAAATTTATACATAAAATATTGTATTCCTTGCATTGAAACGAATCGACTGGTAGGAGAGAGTGGGGCAAAACCGGGTACCTTTTTGGAAATCTCGGTTTAAAAAGAATCTATAAAATTTAGTTCAAATCTCGTTGAAAATTTTTCATTGAATATTAGAGTCCGTTAGATAAAAATTTATCATTTTTTTCGAAAATTATCAGTTTTTTCTTGTAAACGCTATGATAATCAACTTCAATCGTTCTCACTATATTTGTTTTGTAACCTACACGTAAAAATACGTAAAAATGTGTAAGTTTAAATCCCTTAAGATAAAATTTTCTTTTTTTTTTTTAAAAAAAACCCATAATTTTTTCTAAAAATATGAGTTTTCCTTAAAAACAATATGATCATCAACTCCAATCGTGCTTGCTATATTTTTCCTGTAATCTACATGCAAAAATAAGCATGTGTACTAAATATGAACTGTCTTGGTTCAATAATGTGTGCGCTAGGAGGATTAAACGCTTTTTTTCAAAATTTTTTATTTTTCCTTGATAAAATCGTTTGGCCAATAGGGAGGGAGTACATGTCTTGCTTCACTAGTCTAATTAATTAATTAATTTCTGAAAAGAAAGACAATATTTCTAGTTACATTACCGTCGGATATGATAAGACCTCTGATTCTTCAATTATTGTAAAAGAGTTTACATCTTAAGAGGTGTTATACTTGTTTTGAGGCTTAAAAAAGGGTGTTTTTAAAGATTTTTCGTAAATACAGTTTTAAATTATTATCGTTGGCAACTAATATACCATTTGATTAAGCAACTTTAAAGATTAAGAAAAAATATTAAACAATTTCCACATATAAAATATTATAAATTATAACATTACAATATTTCATGATATACAATATTCTTCACATATAACTTTTCAGGAAATTCTATATTTTTATATATAGCAGAATCAATAGCATGAATTTTTAGATGTTCCTTGGATTTAACTCTAGAACAACCAACATAAATTTGACCATGACCAAATGTTGAAATTGGTAAATAAATTCCTACTCTATCAAAAGATTGTCGTTGAGATTTATTAATAGTCATGGCATAAGCAAGTCTAACAGGAAATTGTCTTCTTACCATTTTGAAAGGATATGTGTCTTGAGAAGGAGATAAATCAATACGTGGAATAAAAACTATTTCACCTTTAGATTTTCCAGAAATTATTTCTGCAGAAATTACGTTTCTCAATAATGATTTTACAACTAATCGAGTCCCATTACATAATCCTTGAACTAAATTCATATTTCTCAAAAGCATAATTATACATCCTACCTTTAAAGATAATTTATGAGGAGGTAAACCATCTGGTGTCAAACTATTTAAAAATTCTATTGGAATAATATTATTTACATCTTTTGGGTCGTCATCGACATGTGAATCAACACTATAATAAACTACTTCTTGTCCTTCTAATTTTAACAAAATACGTTCATTTAGATCTAACACTTCAGAATTAGTCAATGAAAGTATGCATGATGAGTAAACAGATACATCATTTTGATTTATTGACAATCCATATATTTCATATATTAAATTTCCGCCAGAAATCAAATCCTGTGGAATTTCTAAAACACCGTTCTCTTTTTCAAACATAGAATGAGTTTTACCGTCACCAACATTTAATAACCAATTTGAAAACTCTTCCTGATTATTATCCAATCTAACATTAACATGTAAGGACCTAGTTTCAAAAAGATCCCACAATCTACTATTTTTCACACATACCTCAACAATGTGAGTGCGACTGCCATGCGAAATAATTGGCAAAGTTTGTCTAAAATCTCCTGAAAGCAAAATAACTTTACCGCCGAATGGTTTATTACATTGTGTTATATCTCGCAACATAGTCTCCATAGCTTGTAAAGCAAATTTAGGTGCCATCGTAATTTCATCCCAAATTATAATTTTGGCATTTTTTAAAAGTTCAGCGTGTTTTGACATTCTACTTATATTACATGTTGAATCTTCATTGATTGGAATAGGAAATTTAAAAACTGAATGTGAGGTTCGTCCACCTCTTAAAAGATTAGCTGCTATACCAGTCTAAGCAACTGCTAAAACTACTAATTCTTCACTTTCAAGAGTAGCAATAATTGTATTTTCTAAATAACTTTTACCACAACCACCAGGTGCAGAAACAAAAAAGTACCTATTTTTGCAATCATCATTATGTATTGCTGCCATGACATCATCAAAAATTTTGCGCTGATCATTGTTCAAACTTTTAATAAGTACTTCACTTTCTTCTTTGAGCAATTTTAATGATAGTTCATTAGCTTTCTTGTCGACAGAAATATAATCGTCGATAATTTTTTGATCAATATTTGGTAAACCAAATTTATTTAGAGAAAATCCATGAAAATTAAGCACTTCATTAATTAATATTAACGCTTTTTGAGTTGCTACTTCTACAGGTACATTATTATCAAAAACCATGTGTTCTTTGTACTTATTCCATAAATCAATTGCATTCACAGGCAATCCAAACACACATATATATGCAAATAGACGACAAAGTTCTTTAGGAAATTTCATGCTTACAGCTTCAGCCAAACAATTATCCCATTCACTATCATCTACTATCAAATTTCGTGCACGCACTGCTTCTACAAAAGTATTGTATGTAATACCTTCATATGTTCTTACATCTTCAAATGATTTAGCACCACGTACATAAAGTAGTAAGACTCTCAAAAAATATCTTTCAACATCTTTCGGACTTACAAAATACATGCGGCAAATTATAGGTTTGGTAATTCGTTCCCTTATTTTCCAAGTTTTTGATGATTCAACGAAAACATACTTATGTGGTATTTCTGTGTACAAATACTTGCGTGCTTCAGGATTTTCTCGATTTAATTTGAACCATGCTGTTAATGTCGTATTTTTAAATTTATTAACTGCTTCTTCTTCTAATCCTTCTTTAAAACATATTAATTGCTGATTTGGTAAATGTACAGCTAATCTATAAGTTGTATGTGATTGTTCATGCATATTGAATTCGAATAATCTGTGCATAGCTTCTGGTGGACATACATAACGTGTGTTTAAATAATTAACAATTTCATCATATTTCATTTCCTCATTATCATCCTTATAACCTATTATTGCACAGTCATGACCTTTATACATATATTTGAATAAATATTTAATGCCATCCGTACTACCACATGGTATAACACAAATATGACCTTCAAATTTTTTACTCAAATACAGATTATATGGTACGATCATCGAATTGTCAGCGGTACATTTAATTGACCCATCTTTGTTATAAAAAATGATTTTTTTACCATCATTTCTTCGCCTGAGTTCCGGATAATTCTTAGAACCATAAGTTGTTTCAGAACAAAACGGCTTTGGATAGTTTTTTGTACAAACTTTCTTCTCAGGGTCCATGCAAGGTGAATTCATATTTTCTTTTCCACAAGGCCCATGAACTTGAAATTGCTTTACAATCTTAAAAAGTTCTGGATTATTTGTTTCATCTGGAATTTCAGCACATATCATTTTATGTAAAGTTTCTGCATCGCGAATTGGATTACGTAAAAATATAATTAAATGCACATGTGGCAATCCACGCTTTTGAAATTCTATGACATAAACAAAAGCAAGAATTGGTCCAAAAATTTCTTTTTCTTTTATATCTTTCATTATCTCTTTCACTTTTTGTTGAAAAACTCTAGTCACAATATCCGGACGATCAGATGCAATTTCAATATCCAACAAATTTTCTGTAATCTCACGCCACTTTGGATTACATGTCATGGTAATAAATAAATTTGGTTTTCCAAATTCTTGAACTAATCGCATAGCATCCATAAAACATTGTTGATAACAACGTGGCCTTCCAATAAATGTCGAAGGTAAAATATTCATTTTTTCAAGTCGAACATTTTCATTTTTTGCTTTATTGCGAACATAATCCATTAATCCACAATACAATTCCGCTCGAAGTTTTTTTTGTTGTAAACGAATGTATTTTAAACGTTCACCTTCTACTTTCGACCAGACATCAACTACATATTGTTGAGTTAATTTTCCTAATTGTAAACATTGATTAAAAGTTCTTCTACATGCAAGACGATACATATAAAATTGTAAAGGAGTAACATTTCGAGTACCTTGAGTATGCTTAAGGTTAACAGTCCATCCAGGATCACCATGAGGAAAAATTAAAGGATATGTCATGGGATCAACATTTTCGCTAAGACTAGATATTGGAATACTCTTTAAACCTTTTGGGTGTATACATATATCACGTTCCATAGGAGGTTCACCATCTTCGCTAACAAATACAAGTGCTACTTCACTACAAGATGGAACATTAAATTTGCTTTGATTCAATGATCTATCTCGTTTAATCCACATTTGAATATTCCTTATAGGCTCATTTTTAGATTTTGCTAGTGCTTCTTCTTCTAATTCTACCTCTCTCATCATTTTAAAAGCTTTAGCATAAGGATTAATTTCCCTTAATAATTTATCTATTTCTTCCATTAATGATGATAAACATTTCTTATTAGATTTATTCTTTAATCGTTCAAGTACTGCTTCATTAGTGTCAATAATGTACAACTGACCATATTTTCGATTGTCATCACCATCGGGATGAAGGGCATATGTATTATGATACACTTGTCCATGTACACGATAAATATAAGGCCCATTTCCTTTAGGAATTTCTAATTTTGCTCCTATGCTGGCGAATGCTAAGGAATTATTATAAGAACGAATATTTTCTTTATAATTTTTACCTTCAAAGCTTGAATCAAATAACAAAGTTTTTAAATAAAGCGGATAAGGATTTAATACTTTCAACTTTACTTTTCCCTTGTGACAGCAACTATTAAATAATGTATCTGACGGCCTTTCACACAAAAAATGTAACGCACTACAAAACTTACATTCTACATTCATCAAACCTAAATAATTCTGTGAAACTTTACTTTCAACGAAATCTTCAAAGGACATAATTGCTACTCCTACAGTGTCTAACTTTTTTTCATTTTTCTTATCGTTTTTACATGCCAAATTCTTTTTTTGACGCACTTTCTTTTCATCCTCAGTTTCTGTATCTAATTTCTTCCTCTTACGTGACAAATCTTTTTCTTTGTGCACTTTCTTTTCATCCTCAGTTTCTTTAGCTAATTTCTTCCTCTTATATGCCACATTTCTTTCTTTGCGTATTTTCTTTTCATCCTCAGTTTCTGTAGCTAATTTCTTCCTCTTACATGCCAAATTTTTTTCTTTGCGTATTTTCTTTTCATCTTCATTTTCTGTAGATAATTTTTTTCTCTTATATGCCAAATTTCTTTCTTTGCGTATTTTCTTTTCATCCTCAATTTCTATAGAAAGTTTCTTCTTTTTGCATGTCAAATCTCTTTTTTGGAGTTCTATTTTTGGAATTTCTGTTTCATTACGATTATCTTTTGTCAGTCTATTATGCTCTTCTATAATTATTTTCTGCTCATCATATTTTCTTGCACAAAGTATTTTTTTATCATTTTCTTCACTTAGGAAATGCTTCATTTCTAAATATTTACGTGGTGAAACTTTATTTACATTATTATTAGTTGCACCAATTCTTTTCTTTTCACTTGCGTCATTCAAAGAACGTTTAATTTCTAAATGTTGTGTTGATATAACTCTATTTGCATTATTATTTATAAAACTGTTATAAAAATATGAAGGGTTTAATCCACCAGTTTGAAGTTCTGCAGCTCGATTTATTAAAAGACAATTCCAATCATCCTCTACAATTGAATTTCTAATAATTGACGATCTCACTGAGGGGAAAGGATTCAACCGATTATTTTCAAAAATTAATTTCAAATGTTTTCTCATTCTATCATTATCAGTTTCATAAATTACACTGTTTGGCATTATGTTGAAAAATACAGATGTTGAAAATGCTATTGCATATACTCTACACTCAACACTTCCAACCGGTTGTTGATCAACAGCTACAAAAACTACTGTTGGTTTAAAAGGGAATAATCTAATTAAATATTCTATTTGATGAATATTCAAACACCCTGCATTAAGGCTATCAAAAATATAAAGTCTTACTCCATCGTAATAAACACTTTTATGTTCGACATGGTATCCTCCTTCAACTTTTAAACTACCGATAAAGTCACTTTTCAAAACAAATCTTTTATTTTAGTTTCTGGCTTTAAAAAATGTACTTATATGTGTTTCACCTATAAAATATTTCATTAACTATTATTCAGCTAACAAATGCAACAATGATAGGCTTATATGAATGTGAATTAGCGTTGTTTAATCTTTTTCCACATTACATCATTTTCTATAATGATTATTATTTAACTTATTTTCCTCTGCTCTTTTTATTAATATTCAAATCAATATTCAACTCACAAACTATTATTTCACCCATAAAACCACTTCAACCCTTAAAACAATATTCAACCCTCTTTCTTTCTATTTCAATACTTTTCCAAAAGCCAGCATCCACTATTATCAAACAGTCAATATTTTTTTCCAATATCGAAATATATTCAATACTAATGTTATCTTATATCATATTTTATTATCCTCAAAATCCAAATATCTTTAATGCCAAAATTATCCAATACCAAAAAATTTTTCCAAAAACCAACTTCCACTATGGTCAAATAATCAATATTTTTTTTCCAATATCAAAATATTTTCTTTTAATACCAAAATATTTTCAATACCAATGTTATCCAATATCTTTCTTTATCCTCAAAATCGTAATATCTTTAATGCCAAAATTATACAATACCAAAAAATTTTTCCACAAGCCAGCTTCCACTATTATCAAACAATCAATATTTTTGTTCCATTATCAAAATATATTCAATAATAATGCTATCCAATATCTTTCTTTATCCTCAAATTCGTAATATCTTTAATGCCAATGTTATCCAATACCAAAAAAAAATGGATTAAAGTATTTTTTATATGAAATTTTCGATAATGATTATTATTTAACTTATTTTCCTCTGCTCTTTTTATCAATATTCAACTCACAAACTATTATTTAACCCTTAAAACAATATTCAACCCTCTTTCTTTCTATTTAAATACTTTTCCAAAAGCCAGGATCCACTATTATCAGTCAATATTTTTTTCCAATATCGAAATAAATTCAATACTAATGTTATCTTATATCATATTTTATTATCCTCAAAATCTAAATATCTTTAATGCCAAAATTATCCAATACCAAAAAATTTTACCAAAAACCAACTTCCACTATGGTCAAATAATCAATATTTTTTTTCCAATATCAAAATATCTTTAATACCAATATCATACAATATCTTTCTTTATCCTCAAATTCGTAATATCTTTAATGCCAATGTTATCCAATACCAAAATAAATTAATGGATTGAAGTATTTTTTATATGAAACATTTAAGACAACCAAAAGAAACAAATATCAAACAGTCAATATTTTTTTAAATAATAATAATATAATATAATTTAAGAAGATTAAACACATGCACTAAGTTATAATATAATATCTATATAATAATCAAGTTAAGTTACCTGAGACTATTAGAAGCTTTTTTTAGCGACACTACTGCAATGTTGTTGCAACGGTAGACGGTTGCTCTATGTTTATCTTACATCAGCAGTAGCCGTTTCACTCCATTGAGGAGAAGTGTTATACCCCCACTCTACCAATCTGGGCCTATATTAAGTTCTCGCGAGTGGCAGATATTACGGTAGGCCTGAGTGGCGTCCTCGGGGATAGGTGTTGGTAAGTTAAGTATGAATACACCACTTCCACTCACTGGGATTAAACGGTTATCATCTATATCGCATATACAATAATAAAAAAATTTCCCTCAACCCAAGACTGTTAGGACGAATCGAGCGATCACGGATTGGGTCCTGAAAAAGGAAGTGGTATATCCTCACTCTATCGGTCTGTCCCGGGCTCAGACCTCGAGTAAGTCAATTACAGCGTGGGCCTGTATGACGTTCTCGGGCTTAATGACAATATTATTTTATGACGCTTAATGAGTTTTTCAAAAAAATTATAAAATTTTTAAATATAAACACTGTTTAATTTATTTTGACATATTCGTTTTCCTCAGAAGTTCACGATTACGATCATATATTGCTCCAATAATAACACAGGCACAAAAAATAATTCAGGTCCCAAAAAACACAACCCCATATTCCTATGTTTTTGGGGTCGCTGAAACCGAATATGACCATGAACAACTTTTTTGACGACCCATTTTCCCGCAACCACCCCTTGCACCTACTCACGGGGGTTGGAGTTTCAAATTAAAAAAAATTGAGTATGGTGTCTATTCCAATGTTTTTTGGGTCGCTTCATCCCAAAAACACCATTGAAAACAAATCCTTCCTTTCCTTAACCCCGTACAACCCTCTGGGAGGGGGTTAAAATTTTAAATTTCACAAAAAGTCAAGTTCGGTGTCTAATCCTACGTTTCTTGGGGCGCTGAAATCAAAAAACACCACCAAAAACAAATTCTTTACCCCCTTAACCTGCTAGAACCCCTGGGAGGGGGTTGGAATATCATTTTTCACGGTGCTAAGTGTAGAAAAATAAATTTCCTTAAGACTTTGTAGGTGCGTATTTGTGTAATCATAGGTAACTTTCTAGAAAACTTTATTGTTGGTGATGTTTTTTGGTTTCAGCGACCCAAAAAACAAAAGATTAGAGACCGTACTCGACTTTTCGTGAAAAATGAAATTCCAACCCCCTCCAGGGGTTGTAGGGGGTTAAAAGGGTAAAGAATGTGTTTTTGGTGGTGTTTTTTGATTTCAGCGACCCAAAAAAACATAAGATTAGACACCGTACTCGACTTTTTGTAAAAATTGAAATTCCAACCCCTTCTCAGGGGGTTGTAGGGGGTTAAGGGAGGAAATGACTTGTTTTTGGTGGCGTTTTTCGGTTTCAGCGCCCCAAAAAACATAGGATTAAACACCGTACTCGACTTTTCGTGAACAATGAAATTCCAACCCCCTCCCAGGGGTTGTAGGGGGTTAACCCATTAACGCTCAGACGGACGAAAAATTGATATTGACTTTGAGGATCTCGTTCTTTTAAAAAAGTCTTTCCAAAAAATCGGCATATACCATTTCTAATGTAAAATTTATTGCTCTTTCAGAAACTGGGGTCAGAATTTGTTTATAATAAATATTTAAATAGTTATAAACAATTTTTTCCAAAAAAACACGATTTTTCGAGAAAAAAATTTCTTTTCAACCATACTTTCACCGGAAAGTCCGTCTGAGCGTTAATGGGTTAAGGATTTGTTTTTAGTGGTGTTTTTGGGATGAAGCGACCCAAAAAACATTGGAATAGACACCATACTCAATTTTTTTTTAATTTGAAACTCCAACCCCCGTGAGTAGGTGCAAGGGGGTGGTTGCGGGAAAATGGGTCGTCAAAAAAAATTTTCATGGTCATATACGGTTTCAGCGACCCCTTTCATTACAGTATTTAAAAGGTCATCGACCATCTTATGAACCCTCAACCAAAAGCTGTTTTGACAACAAAAATTTCAGGTAGAAACCTTCGAGAACCCTAATTATCAAAGTAAAGATATAATATGTATATATAATCTAATAATAATGAGAAAATTCAAGTACTAAGAAAATGTGAATGACTGACGGAATGAATACAAAGATTATTATACTATAATTTCTATTTTAAATTTAATTTTTAATAATTTAAAATTTAAGAATTCTTTTGCAACAATAATATAAATATTTTGCGATATATTTAGGATAATATAATAATACATTTTCATAAATAAATAATTAATGATTTTGAACGAAATTCGCACTTGTTGCGTAGCATCTGATTATTAAATGTATATATCTATTCAATAGCGACTCGCAATGTTGCTGACAGGTTTTCGGACGATATCTCGGCTGTTTACCATTCAATAAGATTTTAGCACGATTTATTAGCTTCAGGAGGTTGTGGCAATGAT